TCCTGCCAGTTAAAATTGTGATCATTGGACGCTTTACTACCAGTGTACGTAAAGAACAAATTTGGATGATCTTGGTCATGTGAAGTCGTGTTTGGAGGCCCTGGGATGAGCGCTTCCACTGCCTAGCGGAGTCTCAGCCGAGAGGCTTGGAGTCATCCACATCCTAGAGCACGTCTCGCAGAGCTCACTCGTGGCGCAGTTGGTAGCGTCGCGGTGCGGTAATCCGGAATTCCGGGTTCGAGACCGAGTGTGAACCACGCTTCCAAGCGATTTCGGCAGTGAAATCGACTACTACCATACAATGAATAACTCATTACGTACATAAGGCGTTCAATTTTTACCTGCTCTATATTAAATTCTTCTTAAATGCAAAAACAACTTTTAAGAAACAGAGTATTACTTTTCAAATTTGATTCTTACTTTTAAGAAGAAAAAGTTTATTACTTTTACTAGCAAAAAGTCTTTGTAAACTGCTTCATAAAAAAGTTTCTTAAAATTAAGATGGATTTTTTTAACAGTGTGCGTGTTGGCGGTGTCGGCGGAGAAGGGGTGGGGACTGGCTTCTGCTTTGGCCCTTCCGCCCTCCGCCCGGGTCGAGTCGAGGCGGGTCGAGGCAGCCCGCGGCCCTTTTGTCCTCAGCCGGCTCCATGATGACTCTGCCCCTTACCCAGATGAGTCTCGTTCCGGGGCAGAGCAGCGCGGAGACTCGGAGCCAGAGGCAGCCGCGGCGAGACCCGCCTTCCGCGAGCCGCATCTGTTCGCCCGTCTGCCGAGGGGAGGGCCCCTTCAGCCAGGCCGGGATACCAAAACGCGTCCCCGGCACCGGGCCTTGCGTGCGTGGCGTGTGACGTGCGTGGCCCGCGTGACCTGTTGTCGATCGTCGCGCTCGGCGGGCAGCACGACGACGACGGGGTCGTTCGTCACAGCGGGCAGCGCGGCGAGCTCGAAGAGCCCTGCGAATAATTCAAAGCCCGCGGGCATTTTGGCAGTGCCCCCGTTGAGGCCCTGCTGCCCTGCCGGTCATGCCCATTCAATTTGCGTGCGCAGAAGCCCGCCCGGTTCCCCTCCCCATCGCAACCCACCCTACTCTGCGAGTACCGCCGCCTTGCGGCTTGCGGCCACTGTAGAGCACATTTGCCTGCAATTTTAAAATTGGCGGCCGCGGCCTCGCCTTGCATCTATAAGTGGAGGGGGGCGGCCCGGGGCCGGGGCTGGCCGGGGCAGGGCAGCACCACGCCGGCCGACACAGACTCCTATCCCATCGACCGGCGTCAACGTCAAGACCCCCAGCCCCCAGCCCAGCGAACTGAGGGCTCTGCCCTAACCAGCGCCCCGGCGGCCGGCGCCGGCGCCGTGCATACCCAAGTGGCAGGCGGGGTGCGATACCCACGCACTCACAAACACACCGGGGAAAGTGGTAGAAGAGACACGCACAATATCGGTGTAAAAATATTTATTGACAGGTATTAAAATCTTAACACAGGCGCACACTTCATTCCACGTGGTCGAACATGAACATGAGAGGCGGAGCCCGCCCGCACAACCTGCATCTTGCAGCGCGTGAACAACAACAGGGCTTTGGGGCAGCATTGTTGTTTCTGTTCCCTTTCACAGCTGTCCCTGGAGCGCGCGGCAGAACGAGTCCGGCACCAGGACGCGGGCGAGGCAAGCCCCGAACGCAGGGGGGCCCAAGGACGCGCCACTGCCTCCGACGCCACTTCCGGACCGGAAGTCCAAGTTGGCGGCCCTCTGCGTGCTCTGCGTCGCCGACACCGCCTCTGCAAAGACGAGAAAGCAAAGGGAAGAGTACAGTCGCGCAAAAGATCCGGCGGCCCTTCGCTTCGCCTCGCCTCTCCCTGCGGCGATGACATCGATCGCAGCACACCGATTCCAAGAGTCGTTTTCGTCGCTCTGTCTCTCTCGCGCTCATGGGGCGTCCCGTATAGGAGCGAGAGAGACAGACGACGGCAATGACTCTCAGAATCACTCAATTCCTGGCACATTCATTGTGAGCAGAATTCTTGCACATGCCAACGCATTCATCCCGCAACCAGTGTACCAGCGGGTCGTCTGCTGGTCCACGTCCTGCGTGCCCCTGTGCCCGTGCCGCGCCGCCAGCCCCATCCCGCAACCAAGCCCGCAGCGCAGCCACATCAAACGACAACGGCAGGCAGTTGGACGTGCCGGACACCGCGTGGTCCTTCCCCGTCCTCCCTCCTGTAGGGTTTACCTCGCAGGTCCCGCAGCCGGCCCAGCAGCAGTTCCCCGCGGCTCCGCAGCCGCGCCGCGTCCGACGCCGGCGAGGCGTAGAAGGCCGCCAGCGCGGCGGACGACTCGTCCAGCTCCCGCTGCAGCACCGCCCGCGACGTGAAGCGGTGCGTGCTCTCGGCCAGCGCCCTGCCGGGGAAACGAATCAGTCACTCCACCGACCAGCTCAGCGATCCCGCACATCGCTTTCGTCGCTCTGTCTCTGTCGCACTCATGGGTGTGCTATGGTGTGAGAGAGAGAGAGAGGCATAGCGACGACACGCTGTGCGGAATCAGTGAGAGGGAAGTCCACTGTCGCCAGGCTTGCCTCGTTATTCGCAGCTGCAGCCGGTCCCTCGTCGCCTCGTCCATCTCGCGGAGCGTCCTGGGCTTGACTTCCTCTGCCGCCCCCGCCGCCGCCACCCCCTCCGGGACTGCCGCCCCCACGCCGCCCCCGCGCGCCACTAATTCTTCTGGCACTGGTAATTGTGTCGGAGTGGCCGTCTCCCGCACTTGCTGCTCCCCACTGTTTGTCCTCTGCTGCGCCGGGGTGGGGGGAGGGGACGCAGGGGCGGGGGTTGGGGTGGGGCCGGGATCAGGGGCGGAGTCAAAGGTCGGAGACGGGTCAGGATCAGTGGCTGATTTAAGGGCAGGGCCGGGGGCGGGATCAAAGGCAGGCGTGGGCGTCGGGGTCGGACCAGGGATGGTGGTGGGATCAGTGGCAGGGCTGGGATCGGTCGGGGTGACGGTGGTGACGGGGGTGGGGGGAGGGTCAGACGACGGGGCCGGGGAGCGGGGAGGCGTTCCTGGCAGCCCGTCCGCACTTGTTGCCTGTTCGTCCTGTTCGTCCTGCTCGTCCTGCTCGTTGAGGGTCGCTGGCTCTGAGTAAGGCTGCAGCGTCGGCACCTCGTCATCCCCGACGACGTCGGCGGCCGTGGAATCTTCCGCCTCCGTTTCGCCGTCCTGGCCGACGGTCTTGACGGTCTCGGTGGTGAGGGTCGGTGCCGTCGGTGCGGGGGTTGAGTCAGCCACTCCTTCGTCCCCCACCTCCACGACGAGTGCGCCCTCCAGCGCCTCGTCCCGGCCGTCACCGCCAGTGCCGTCTCTGGGTGTCCTGGCGCTGGGGGTCTGCACGTCGAGGGCCACGACGGCCACGTCAGGTTCTGGCAGCGTCTCTTCGCCAGGGACGTCAGTGGTTGAGTCGATCGGCTTTGGTCGCTCGTCCGGATCGCTCTGAGCAGCTTCCTCGGCCTCAGGAGTTGCAGGCGGAGACACTCGTTGCGAATCCGGCAGCCTCTCCGCTGGCTGCTCTGCCTGCTCCCCCGGCACTCCCTCTACCCCCGTCGCCGTCGGCGTCACGACACCAGTGGCGCCGCGCCATGCATCCGGCTCCACCGCAAGACCCTCGCCGTCAGCTACGGTGGGGACATGAGCCCGGGCGTCGGGCGGCGGCTCGTGGATCTCGGCCTCGGTCACGATCACGACGCCGCCATGGCCTCTGCTCGATTCCGAGGACGACGAGTCGTCGGCTGCCTGGCGCCGCAACAGCCGCCGCCGGCCTCTGCCGCGGCCCGTGGAGGCGGTGGGGACGGTCTCGCCGCTCGTCTTGGAGACGGCCTCGGTGGACGGCGCGGTGGCCTCGGCCTCGACGGGCGCGGAGTCAGGTTCGGCACGCTGAGAGTGTCGGCGCGCGGGCGAGTCCCTTTGTCGTCTGGGCGCTGGCACCGGAGCAGCAGGGGCAGCAGCAGTAGGGGGGTGGGTGCTCTCGGTGACATTGGAGGAGACTTCTCCACGGCCAGGTGCTTGGCGCTCGCTGTCGGCCCCCGCACCGGTCAACCGAGTCACCCGGCCTCGCGGTGCTGGCGTCGGCGTGGGGGCCGTGACGGTCGCGGCCGCCGCCTCTATAGGGGTCTCGGCGCCGTCTCGCTTCTGGCCTGCATCGCCTGCCGGAAATCGCACATGAGAACGCCGCTTTCAATGAATAACACATCGCAACGACGTACCTTCGGGCTTGCCTTCGGGCTCCCTCTCTATCGTGAAGGTGCGCTGGCGGCCGATGCTGGCCAGGGTCGGTCGCGGGGGCGCCGGTTTGTTTTGGCTCTCGCTCGGTTTCGATTTGCCGTCGTCGCCGGACGCCGCCGTCGTCCGCGCCATGCTTCAGGGAGGCCTCCCCGCCGCGCGGGAGTACGATGGGTTGCCTGCCTCCACTGCCTCGCGGGCGCGGTCGGCCGCCTGGCTCGCCGCGTTCGCTGGCCCGGCAAGCGGCAAGTCCGCCGCCGCCGTCCGGTCACCCGTGCAGATCGTGCAGCAGTGTAGCTCGGCGATGCAAAACAGGCGACTGGGGCCGTGCGGGGTTGGCCCGGCCGCCGCCACGGGGTGCGCCCACCGGAGCCCCTCCAGGGCTGCCCCCGCCATCGCGGTGCCCGTCCTTCTCTCTCTATCGGTACAGGGCCGAGCAGTGTGAGGGAGAGAGGTCACACGAGCTATGCCGGCGAAGTACAGCACTGCCAAGGGGGCTGCTTCGCTTCGCCAGCGTGATAACAAAGTCACCATGGCGACGCGACGGCCGGGTGGGGGTGGAAGGTAGAGCAGGGTGGGGTAGGGGTCGTAGGGGTAGGGGTCGTAGGGGTAGGGTGGACTCACGCGGTGCGCCCCTTTGCCACTCACGCCGTTCCGTTTGCTACGACCAGTGAGTGTTTCCCTTCAGGAGTAATTGGCTGCAACTGGGTAAGGGCGAGGAATAAAAGGCAATAGTCTTTCAAAAGCATTTATTATTGATAAATTTACTTTTATAAAGATTAAAGCAGAAATGTCATCAGGCTGCCTGCAGCAGCCCATCATATCCATCCATCAACAATGTCTAAAATACTTCTCACAATACAAATCTCATCACTTGTTAAGCAACACCAGCATGTCACCACTCACAAATATTCCTTACAAAACATAAAATATTAAAGCTATAACAGTAGTAATGTCTGCAGGAGTTTCTACATTCAAAACAGTATAGATTGAGCATGTTCCTCCTCTAATGAAAGAAGAGTTTACATTTAGGACCAACACTTAATAGATCGAAATAAACTCAATAAATGTTTACAAATATAATTATTTTAACTTTTGAAAATTTCATAACAATTTCACACATCAATCATACTGTTATTGCAGTATCACATTCTAATGGCACAACTGGCTCTGAAAACTCGAGCCAATCAATCACCAGTTACGAAGTCCATAAAGTCAACAACTACTATAGATTTGTTCATTATAATTACTTTTACTTTCTCCACAAAACATTAAATGGACAAGGAGCACGTTCAATAAACAAAAGCTTATAAAATCCTATTAAATTCTTCACAGCAGTAATACATAGATGCCTAGTTCAGTGAATCCGTCAGATTTCATATTGCCTATGAAATTAGCAGCAGTTTCTGCAGCACTAGTAAATTTCATCAAAACAAAATAACTACAAAAATGATCGCCTTCTGCTTATCAGTATGCAAAACATCAATCAAAGAAATCTTCTGCTGCAAACTCAAAAGATTTAATTGCTTCCTCAAATGGGAGAGCAAAGAAAAATAGTTTCTTCTGATGTAACAAACTCACAACCACATTCAAAATGCTATCACATTGTGTCTCTTCTTTTTTCCATGCACACGTCCACACAAATACATGCATCACACGCCTGGGCACCTCACAGTTCATGCAATTTGATTCAGCGCCACAAAGGAAGTATAGAACAATGTAGTTATAGTACGTAGTTGGTAGAATTTCATAAAAATCACAAAAAACACAACACAAGACAAAAATAATGTAGGCTCAAGATGTGACATTAAATCATACCATACATTATTATTATAAAGATCACAATTCTGCATAAAAGATTTTTCCTCTAGAGAGGTGGTAGTCAAATATCAGTTCGTTAAATCATAAACAGAATAAAAAGCAAAAATTCATCACATCTGAAAACTAAATTCTTAGGAGCAAAACTGTCTTCATTTGATGTTACTGTGTTAATAATTAATTAAAGAGACTATTAAATTAAAACACAAAGGATTCTTGGCAGGACCTACAGGAACAGAAAGATTAAGTCAAAAATTTGACAACAACAAGAGCAATCACCAAGATGCCAATTTCATTCTAAATTAAATAGTAAGGTATTCTGTCAAAATTCAAAGAAATTTTAAAATATAGTAAGAAGTCTTTAAAGGTGATGGGTCAAGGAGAGTAGCAATGTGTGAGGAAAACAGTCACACACTTCAATGTCAATGTTTGAAGATCTACACCAAAAGTATCTCTTGTAATTAGTTAGTGCACACACACTTAACTTCTAAAGGAAAGCTTCTGAAAAGAAATCTTTTGACCCACATTTGTACTCTAGTTTACATGGAACAACATACAACATTACATCATAAAAATAAATAGTTATGAATGGCAAGGAAGAAAGCCCAAGATTGCAATGTTAACAAACACAATGCAAAGAAAAACTGGGTAAGAAAAAAGAAAAAAGAACAAAGAATGTCACTTTAGGAGCAGATCTTAAAGATAAGATGCTGGTCAAGAAGCACAACCAAAATTTTAGAACACTTACAAAATATGCTACAGTTTCAGCACAAATGTTTAAGTGAAAAATCCTCTAACCACTTACAAAAATGATTGGTGCTGTTAATATACATATATTTATATAGAGAAAGTCACCCCTGGTAGACCCTTAGCTGAAAAAAGGCTACTTCCTTTTAAAATTTTGACCACCACAATCATATACCGGTATGTATTATGTAGTTACAGATTTTATCACAGGTCTCAGTCATGGCAACAGGAATGGCATGATAATACACTGAAGACAGCAGAGTCGGTGGGTAAGCACTAATAACATGTAGTCTGAGACAGAACTATCAATCAAACGTTCACTATAAGTCACCTTACATGGTGGTTGTCAGATCACAAGCAACATGTTACTAGATAAAGAAAAATTATTTTACAGCTTACTGCAATGAGAGAGACTCCACTGCATTGCTCACTATGTTGCTGCAGCTCTTCGAACTTGGTAAAACAGTCTCTGAGGGGAGTGGGTTCTTGACTGGGCTTTGAGGCACAGAGTGTTTATTGCTACCAGGTAAGCTGGATGCTTTGTTGACCGCTAAAACATTCCTTGAAGAATCGGCAGAGGGACACAATGAAATTTCACGTAGTTGCTCCCTGAGATCTTCTAGCTCCTGGAAGAATCAAAAACATATGCTCAGAAATTTTGGTAAGTGAATGAAATCAATCATGAAATCTAATCTAAATATTTACCTCATCAAGGTAGTATTCTGTTTCATCCTTCTCACTCACAGCTGATGATCCAGTGGCAGCAGACATGCCACTCAAGCTATTCATATCACATCGATCCAGTTCAGATTCATAATTTTCCATCAAGTGATTCAAAAGTACATGATTGTACGCTTCCTCACTATCTGTTGATGATTTTGCAACTTTTCCAAAGTCATCTTCCAAAACATGGCTATTCTTAAAAATGTCAGAGGAGCCAGGTAAACAGAGCATAGCATTACTCAATGGGGTTTCAATAGTATTTTTAAGGTGTGTTAAATTGTCTAATAGAGGTAGGGCTGTAAGATTAGGCCTTGAAGCAGGAGAATGTGGAGTAGGAGAGGAAGTTTTAGTTGGTGATGGTGGTAAGCTTTTGAGTTGAGGGGCTGATTCCTTCTGCACTTCAGCAGGGTTTACAATTGGAAGAGGTTCTGGTGGCTTTTCAGCATTCTGCTGAGGTTCATTAGCAATGGCATCAGTTGGCACAGAAGATTCACAGAAGACTGGTTCCAACTCTGCTCCGACACCTGGTTCCCTTGGTCCACAGGGCGGTTCTTGCTCACTTTCCGTTTGCTTGTTTTTATTCCGCTTGCAGTGGATCTCTTCAGAAATTCTTTCCAGTTCTTTCAGAGATGCTGCATAAGCGCCCTTCACAGCTGCCACTTGTGTCTGTAAAACTTCCACTCTCTCCTTTTGGCTCGCTAGTTGTTCATTACAAAGAGATTTCTCCTCAAAATAAGGTCTTGACTTGATAATCTGGCGATGGAATCGTTGTTCAAGCTGCTGCACCTGGGGTTGCAGAAGAATTGCTTCAATTAAATATTGAACCAAAGTGTTTAACTATAAGCTACCATTTCTAATTTAAAAGATTTGAACACAAGCAACGGATCTTTCGCTATTGGCAATATACCTTCTGTTCAGCAGCATGAAACAGCATTGCTCTTTGGTGATGTTCTCTCCCACTTTCAGCCTTTTTAGTTTCCGCATCCCTCACCTATTTTGAAGGAATAAGTTATTCATGGTAAACAAACAGGAGAGGGGAAGTACATCAGGTGGTTTGAAAAATGATAAGGTATACAACTTCAAAATGTTTACCTTAATTGTTGCATGATTTAGCATCTCCTGCCACGCATTATCAAATTGCCACTCATGTTGTTTACTGAGAAATCGTTGCTCCGCAAGAGCAACAGTTTCTTTAGCGGCTGCATGGATCTCTGAAATAAAAATTTTGCATTTGTGTAATAGTATATAATATCATTAATAGTATACAATATCATTATCTGTTAAAACAAAACATCATTTCCGCATTTGAACAAATTTTCAGCTTTATTTTACCATTAGCTCGTTGGTAATTAACTGCAGCTCTCTGGCATTCCATCTGCGCCTGCCTTGCTATGTCTAGCGATTCATAGTACGGACGTGCCTTCTCAACACAGCTGCCCAAGCTCTTGGACTTGTTTTTCAAACGCCTCGTACAATCATTGAGCAAAATTCTGAATGTAGTGTTGGCCTCCTGCAACAGCAAAGAATAATATTGAAGAAATATATCAAGTTTGAAGAACAAAACTGGAGATCCTCAGTGCAGGATTCTTACATCAAGCGCAATCTCTAGACGATTGATTTCATCTGTGGCAGTGTTGAGGTTCTCCAGCTCAATCTGCAAAAATTGAAATTTAGACAGTTTAATTACAATCACAGCTTCCAGACACATGATCAGGAAATTTTATAGTTCATGGACAGAATAAATTAAGATCTTTGGTAGTAAGTGCAATGACCTTAAAACCACTTTTAGGCCACGGTTAGTGCATCCTGCTCAGGGGGTCAGGAGAGGATCAATGCACACAGAACTGCTGAACGTGCTTCAGGGAATCTCGGGCACGAAAAATTACCTGAATTCTAGGATCTAAGGCTCCTTCATCGCCATCAGTGGCGTCCCCCATGGCAATGACAGGGACAGGGAGAGAGAGTTGTGGCTACTGAAATGACGCTGTAACCTCGGGACACGCGTCAGACGTGCCTTTATCACAATCACATGACCGAAACTAAGCAGTCAGCGAACCAGTCCTCAAGCAATCGTTGCCGAACTAGGGCGATACAGATATTTGTTTCTCATGTAAAAGTCCCTGCGGCAGGTTCTCAGCGTCTTCACGCCATCTTGCTGCCTTCTTCTGCTGCTCTTCTGTCTGCTGTGTGTTGTTGTTGTTGTTGGCGCTGACTGCGAGGAAGGTGGCGTAGCGTTATAGGCAGTTTAGCTGGAAGCGCGCGAAGGTGGGCTTCATTCAAAAGTGGCGCAAAGCTGTCCATCGCTGGAACGAACCGCAATTTTGTTTTTGATGGGTTTTGAGCGGCTTTGAGTGGCTTTGAGTGAATGCATGATATTGCGCTAGGCGGTGGGCTGTCATTTAGTATCAGTAGCGGCGCTCATTCCTTCATTCATTCATTCATTCATTCATTCATTCATTCATTCATTCATTCATTCATTCATTCATTCATCCATTCATTCATTCATTCATTCATTCATTCATTCATTCATTCATTCATTCATTCATTCATTCATTCATTCATTCATTCATTCATTCATTCATTCATTCATCCATTCATTCATCCATTCATTCATTCATTCATATATTTTTTGTTGTTTGCATCTATAATATATCATGATATAATATTTTCATCTATTTCATTCCATTGTGTGGTTGTCCAATTGGACAACCACACATCCATGTCTTCATGGACGAATCAGAAAAACTCACTCAACCAAAATTCAGTATAAAGAGGCATTTCTCTGGTCCAGGCCTAGGCACAGCCAGTCCGTTCTGACCAAAATTTTTCTTCAATTGCTACCGGACACTGACGGTGGCGGGGCCGTGGGGCCGTGGGGCCGTCTCCGTAAAGCGAGTCGAATCAGTAATGTGACGAGGACCGGAGTGGAACCGAGCTGTCATCGTCCGCAGACAAGCCAGGGAAGGCAGAGCGCGCGGAGGGGAGGGGAAGATTATTTTCCGACTGTGGGTACGACTCGCTGTTCGAATCGACTTCACAGTTCTGGTAACCGAAACGATGCAGCGCGCGGCGACCGTTCGCTGCTAAAAAACAAGAACGCAACTGATTTGATGGTCGTGGCGGCGTCGCCGACGTGGCCCTTGACGTGGCCTGGCTGCGGCGGCGGCACTCCTCGCGTGCACGCGGTGCAGCCTCGTGTCGCACGGCCGCCACGGGCTGCCTGGACTGCCCACTGATGCCGAGAGTCGTTTTCGTCGCTCTGTCTCTCTCGCACTCATGGGGCGTCCCCTACAGGTGCGAGGGGGACAGAGCGACGAAAGCGACTCTCGGAATCAGTCTGCTGCTACACGACGACGCTGCCCATCTCATCTGCTCGGTTATCAATCAAGCAGGTCTCCTAAACGACCCGAATTATTATTACGGGGAAAAGGAAGAGCCGAGAGCGGTTTGGGCGCACAGGAAGTGGAGTAGAAGTAGAAGCAGGGCTTCATTGAGTCGTGGACGTGATCGCCGCGGTGGTGCTGCAGCATGGTAGTCGCGGTCAAGGCGGGCCAGCGCCGCGGCTGCGTCTGCGAGTGCTGCGCCCCGCAGGGAAGGGTCCTGGGGCCTAGGGACCGCCCCCTGCCGCCCCGGACGCAGCCACATCGCACGGTAATACAGGAAATGGCTCTACTCGGTGTGGCGCGGGACGCGGGACGCCGCGGCCCTCGCAGGGAGGTCCAGAGGTCCAGAGGCCATCCGAGAGGCCGTGCCGCCGCGTGCCGCCGTGCCACGTCCGGTCGGCTCCCGGCGTGGCCCTACCAAGTCCTGCCTGGTCCTGCCGTGCACGCGCGTCCCACTTCACGAGTCCTCCAGCCCTCGTTCCGGGACCACCAGAACTCCGCCACCTGGGGGCGGGGGCGCCTGGGGGCGGCGCCTCGTCTTTGCCTCGCCCCGCGGACCAATTCTGCTGGACTGCTTCGGTCACCCATTCCTCACTGGGTCGGTACTGTAGTGGGCGGATGCAGCAGAGTTTGACTTGATGATGGTTTATGGCGGCTTCCATGGTAGCCCTGGTGGCCTGCTGCAGGACCACAACCCTTTGCTGCCCACCCCCGCACCGAGGCCCACCACCCCTTCATCACAGACGGGAGGCCCACCCCGCCCCCTGGGTCCGCCCCCCTCGGGCCCGCCCCCGCCAGACAGGCCCCGTCAAGGGCCCGATACCGGGCGGCCCAGGTATTCGGTGGGCGAGTGGGCGTATCACTTAATTTGGTTTGGGATAATAGAGAACTGCTGTTCGGTCGGTGATTTCCGAAAACATCGGCAGAGGTGTTTTGGTGCGCGCGTAAACGCCTAAACGGTTTGCCCTGGGATGGGGCTCCGTGCGGCGCCGCGTCACCGCGCCAGGCCCGCAGCAACACACTTGTATCCGTCCTGCCCGTCGTCGTCCTGGCCCTCCCCGTGGTCGTTAGCGCGGCAGTCCGGGTAGTCCGCGCACCGCACCGTTAGCGACCGCGCCTGCTGTGCCTGCTGCGCCTGCTGTGCCTCATCCTCGTCGCCGTCGTCGCGACGCGCGGACCGCGCGGACTGAGGGCCGCGGCGGCAAAGCGTGATTACCAATTAAACTGAAGAGAGGAAATTGGAAAATAAGGGAGAAGCCCGCCAACGAACGAAACCTGTTTGTGGCCGAGGATGGTGCCACGCCACCGCCACGCCGGTACGGCCCTGCCACGGCCCGGCAGTGCAGCGGGGCAGCCAGAGCAGCCAGGGCTGGGGCAATATGGCCGATAGGAGCGGCCGCGCCGTCCTGCATGACCACCTATAATTATAAACTTGCAGCGGCGCAGCAGCCGCGCACACTGCAGGCACTGCAGGCACTCTCTCAGAGGTCCGTTTCCTGGGAGACGCATCCCCGGCAGCGTCCCGTTGAGTTCATCGCGGGATGCTCCCGCTCGGAAACGTCGCCCGTGCACCGCGAGGCCGCGCGAAACGCAACCCTTTCCCGAGAGTGTATGGCACGGCGGGGCGCGGCGGGCGGGGAGCGGCGGGGCACAGCGGGTGATAACATCAGATCATCATTTACCACGGCTGGGTTCGGAACGGCCTCTTTACGAGTCGGCCGAAGTGATGAGCAAGTGGAGGGAAGGCCGGTCCGCCGCACCGCCGCACCGCCGTGACGGCTTGGTTGGTGTGCGATGACGCGTTGACGGCGGCGGTCGACGCCGTGCTCACACACAATGGGGAATGGTCGTCCTGGAGTCCTGGACGCCGCCGGTCTAGACCTGGTGGAGGGCCCTGACCTTGTCGTACGCCGAGCTCAGTCGACTCCCTTCAATTTTCGTCACGACTGGAATGAGGCTCTCGTTTCATCGCCATTTCGTTATTTTGGCGGTAGTTTAGTTGCCGGTCCGCACGGCGGCGATCCCCGAGCCAGCCGGGCAGCCAGGCAGCCAGGCCGGCAGGCGGGCAGCCCCCCGCGGGGCGGGAAACGCGCGGAGTAACGAGAGGGCATAACTCCTCGCCCCATTCATACCAGCCCGTCAGCGCGGCCCAGCGCGGCCAGGACGACGAGCAGGCCAGACCGGAGAAGCGCACCGCACATTATTGAATTTTGGAATTACTGGACATTTTTCGGACGCCCCTCGACCGCGGAGTGAGAGTGAGGCGCTAGATCCTTCTCGCCTCGGTCTGAATGGGAGTAGGAGCCGCGGCAGTGTGAGCCAGACGCGCCGTGCTCGATGTGCTCACACTAGTTGCGCTCCCAAAAGGCGGCCGGGTGATCGAGAAACACCTGTCATTAGCTCGGACGGAGCGACACGCCCTACGGCCCTGCGGCCCTGCGGCCCTGGATGCTGCTGCCGAGCATGAATGACACAGGACCATTCACTCAGACAGAGCGCCCTGCCAGCCTGGCTGCCCTGCCTGCCCTGCCTGGCCCTGCCTGCCCGGAGTTTACGTGACTACCGCCCCACCTGGCCCGGCCCTGGCCCGGCTGCGTGGCATTCCAGACAAAGTACACCCAGTGCATTTGCAGCTATCCGATGTGACGAGGCTTTTGCCGTGAGCTTGCCCCACCCGGGGTGGCTCCGCTTGCTTGGCCAGCTCGTCTTGCTCGCTGCTCCTCTATTCTTTTACAACCGCAGCGCGGCCCTCCATTCCCTTTTCTCCCTTTTGCCCCACCTTCGGCCACCTTCGGGAGCAGTCAGGGACTTTGGGGATAAAACCGCAGTCGTTCAATTCGTCTCGCACCTGTAATTCCTTCCCATCCGCCCAGTCTGCCCCCGTCATCCCTGCCTGAGCCTCGGACCGAGTTGGTTGGACCGAGTTGACTCCCACCTCACGTCGGTGCATCGCAACAAGTCTGTCTCGGTACTACACTGCCGACAAACGAGGCGTGTGCTCACCGAGCAGCGCTGCAGGGGTGCGCGCGTTTTTAACAGTGCATAGGTACACAGTGCCGTGGATGCTGCGATGGGCGGGGCTGGCGGGCCTGGGCTGACCATCCCGGTGGAGATTCCTCCTCGGAAGGAGAAAGGAAAGGAAAGCTGCCGAAGAAGTCGAAGTAGTCGGAGGCGTGGCGGGGGTGGCGCTGGCAGCCCGTGCAGTCCCTGCACCCAGACGAGGGGGCGGGGCGGGGCGGGGCTGCCCTGCCGGACCCAGTGTACCTCCCTTTACCGCTGACCGGTAAAGTACCCTGTCTGCCTCCCAGACGGCCAAGAAGTCCGTCCGTGAGCTGTCCGGGCCTCGGCCTCGGCCTCGGTGCGCGCGGCGGGAGTGCACGCGGAGTCACCCTGCCCATTCGAAATTAGTTTCCCGGACTCGTCCGCGGCGGGCCGATTCCGAGAGGGTGCTCCGTCTCTCTCGCACCAGTGGGCCGCGCTGTTGGGGTGCGAGAGAGACGGGGCGACGAAGCGCGCTTCCGGAATAAAGCTGCTGCTGCTGGCTTGCCCTGCCAGTGTGTCGGTCCAGACGGCCGCAGCCCTCCACTCCCACATGGAGGGCACGCTCTGGACAGTCTTGACGGTCTTGACGGTCTTGACGTGCGCGCGGTGCATAACTCTCTTCCGCGACCGTCTCGTCCCGTCCCGTCCCGCCGCTGTCCCGCTAGCACTCAACATGTACGGCGAATTGGCCCGACGGCACCGCGGCACCGCGGCACGCCGTGCACGGCGGCGCTCCAGGCACAGAAAGGCAGGCACACAGGGCACGGACGCCCGC